ATTAGTTTGAACCTTTGAGGTTTAGACGTCTCGTGACTAGGTTCCTTCATATGCTTCAAAGCACCGCAAAACGGAGATGGTCACAGCGAGAGAACTCCTTGAGCGAGCGCAGGCGCCGCACGTCGCGTCACGCTCCGAGTATGAGGAAGGTGGACAACGTTTGACCCCAGCCAATGTTTGACAACAAATGCTCCTTGAAAAGTATGGAACCAAATCAATCACCGGACCTACCTCCTCCCTTGCTTTATAGCTCTATAGCAGTTTCTCACCGTTTCCTGGCTCGTGCCCTGACTCATACGTCGAGCTTTCAAGTTTTCGATCTTGTTTCATTCATCCAAACGGGTTTCCTCCACGGACTCTGCCATTTGGTTTCCATACGCTGAAAGGTTTGTTCAATGCGATTTCCCAACGTCAAAGGAGGTTGAGAGGTTCTCTTTTCTAAAACTTTGAAATTGTGAAAACACAAAGAGATTCAGAGAAAGAGAGGTAGAGTGCAGAGAGGCTAATCAGAAAAGGATTATGTTTACAAGAACAATTATGTTCTTATCCTGAGAGAAGCCGCTTCTGTCGTTTTTGAAATGAAGAGGTGGCAGCCAAAGAGAATGCCAGATATACGCCGCATTGCGCCAGTTGCTCAGACATGTGCCGGGGTACACAGGTCTTGGTCTGGCGCAGGAAACTCTTTAACACATAAATCGGTTCAAGGAAATCGAAGGAAAACGAGAGAAACACAAGACTTGAATAAATACAGAACATAGCAGTTGTTCCCAAATGAAGGATTTTGGGAGATTCGGTTGGACGCCGATTGCTTTTATAAGTGTTTGTGGTTCCGGACTTCGCTCCCGTCCAGGAGCCGACCTTCACCCGTTTGGAGTTGGAACAACGGCGAGATGAGGCGAGTACGACCAGACCGGCGGAGCCGGTGGGCAGAAGTTTCGACAGATGTAAACTAAACGTGTAAAGGTGTAAACTAGAGTTTAAGAGTTAAGATGCCCTTGATGAGGACCAGGGATGAGCTGTTGTGTGATGCAAGGTTATGCAATGAGGTCCGACGTGATGGCTCCTGATGCTGTGTTGCAGCTGTTTGTTCATGCGTTGCGGTATAGTGTGATGTTTCAAAAGTGAATGAGCAGATGGGTGAGTGAGTGCTTCGCATACTTGCCAGTTTGCACTCAGAGCCCAGACCTCCCAGAAGCCACTGAGCACATACGACATTACAACAATCGGATCCCAGTTCTGAGCCAAGATGCAGCTAGCCATGTGCATCGCTTCTAGTAACAAGTGCCTTACTAGTAGTAACAAGAAGCCAAATGGCCGTCCTTCTGAGCCAAGATGATGCAGCACAAAGTCGCCCGTTTTCCCAGCTGCGCAGCCCTGACTTCTCCAATCCTCCGCGGCTTTCAGGGCCGCCACTCTATCAACACCACAAGCCAAAAGCGGTTTGGTGAAGACTCCGCCGCTGTTTTACAGGTGATCCGGTCTGCCGCTTTGCCACACCGATTTGCTCCCCGCTCTTTCCAATGACATTCACTGCGGTTCGTAACTTCAAATTCGTAAGCGACGGCCCCCACCCTAGTAGCGATGCCTTTGATATTGTATTTGGTCGCTATTTTCCAAAGTGAAGTGAATCCCAAGAGGTCGCAAGAGTAGCTTTCGATGCACACATGAAAACATGTTCAGTTGTTTCTTCTTGTTTCTTAATGACGTGTCTTCCTTTTTTTGTTTTCTCCTTTGCTTTGATTCTTGTTTCTATTTAAACAAGTATTTGTTGACTAATTGTCCACAGTTTTCTTGCGTCACACCGTGCATGTCGATCTGATCGCAGGAGAATTGTTTTCGCTACACAGAGCTTGCAATACCTAGAGGGACGCCGGTGCCCACCTGAGGATAACGACTAGAAGTGATCAAACACAGGGAAACACACATTTCTTAGACCGTTAGCCCATCTTTTTCATCTTTAAGAAACGGAAAAGCAAAACAAACAACTTCAAACAACCATGTGTGTTTTCTCTGATTGTTTCCAAAGACTGCAGTTTGTTTAGAGCTGTTTAGACGTCAGTTCTTCCCTAAGCTCACACAGACTGCTGGGTTTCCAGCGACGCGACGGTCGAGGTCACCATTCTAGCACGGCCTATGGTAGCTCAGGCGTTGAAAACACCGTGTGACCCAGCTAGCCAGCTAGCCATTATTCACATGTTTCAACGATGGCCTCCAAAAGGAATTTCGATCCTTCACTTGGCTGGAGGCTGGAACTGGCGAAGGAGCTGATTGCAACATACGTTTAGTGTCACCAGGCTGTGATGAAGGCAAGCTGGCAAGTTGCAAGCCAAGCTGGCAGTCGCTCCAAACTTCAAGCTGGCCCAGCGCAGGTCCAGACCCCTACGTAGATGCGAAGAACCTGAAGGCCAGTTTTGGAACGTTTGAAGATGTTTCTTAGCACAGAAAAGTGCGAACCAAGAGACAAATCAAAAGGCGACATAAGTGGAAAAATATGAAGAGAAAAGGACACAAACACATGAACAAAGAAACACGTCCAAAAACATGTCTATTTGAAGGGCCGTGTCTTCCCGATTCTTTTGAAGTTTAGTTCTTTTTTGGACTGGTTCCAATCGCTAGTAGGTTGGAGGCCATCTCTCTTAGGTTCCTTGTGCTTCGTTCGCTTCTCATGCTTGGTTTGCTTTTTCGCTTTCCGCTTCGCTTTTCTGCGTGTTTGCTGACCTTGATTCATACATCGCTTCTTTGCGTCTTGCTTTGTTTCTGTTTCTTTGTGCATTTTGCATGTGGGGTTGTTTCTTGTCGTCTTACTTTGCAAAGTTCCTATCTTTTTCTGTTTGTCTTGTGGTGTTTTTGGTCTTGGTTTCTCGTTTGGACAGAACCATTCCAACTTACACCGTTTGTGGTCCCCGCGACGGTAAGATTTAGAGCAAGGATTGGGTGTTCTTTGGGGTGCTGCGTGTGAAATCTGCAACCGTTCCGCTTTCGCCACGCAATCTGACTGCTCTAGGACGCTAACGCTGCGGTGCTCCTGGCCTTACTAGTAACAAGAAGGCTACTAGCAACAAAGGGCATTTCTACTAGGAGCAAGGATGCCACGATCGGGGCGCTCCTGGCCGTACAACTAGTAACAAGAAGCCACAATACGGACGACGGACGGTCCAAACCTTTTCATTTCGAGGATCGCTTTCGCTTCCGCATTCTCAAGGGCCACCAGGCGCGCATTGCAAACGCTTCTAGTAACAAGTGCCTCGCTACTAGGAGCAAGGGCCTTACAAGTAGAAAACAAGAAGCTATTAGTAACAAGTGCCACGCTAGTAGTAACAGGTGCCTTACTACTAGTAACAAGAAGCTAGTAGTAATTGGTACTACTAATTGTAAATAGAATTCATTCCGGACTCTTGAAGCCTACTAGCTTCTTGGTTCCTAGTAGTAAGGCCAGGAGCCCCTAATAGCGTCCCTGCTCCTAGTAGCAATGCACTTGTTACTAATAGCGAACCTTGTTACTACTAGTAAGGCACTTGTTACTACTAGCTTCTTGGTTCCTAGTAAGGCACTTGTTACTAGAAGCGATGCACTTGTTCCTAGTAGCTTCTTTGTTTTGTTCTATGCGCATTGCAGTCGATTGCGACATTTGGCCTCACCTCAAGGTGGAAAACCTCCTCCGCCACCGGGACTGAGCTTCAATTCCGAACTAATAGCGATGGCCTCCAACAATTCCCTTCTTCGCTTTGCAATGTTTGTGCATTTTGTTTGAGGTCATGTCGTTCGAGTGTATCACCGTAAGCAAGCTCTTCAGATCTTTTCACTAGTGCTCTCCGAGCAAAACGGGGGCGTCATGTCGTTCAACTTGTGGCAGGAGCTTAACCCGACAGCATATTACGGGCTCGCCATGGTTGCCATGGCCTTCATTGGCTGGGCTGCGTTTCGAGCTGAATGCCGTGTCATGTCTCTGAAAAAGGGCAGTTCTTGAGAAGGACCACACGGCCGTGTTTTTCACATCCAAAGCTTCAGGTCTGGATATCCTGGGCTGGGTGCCTGACAGGCTGCTTGAGGGCGAGTGTTTCACGCCGAAAGCGGGGCCTTGGCGCAAGGACCGGGCCATTCCATCTACGCGAGACCATGTCTCTATGCGTCGATCAGCTGTCTGTGCTGCGGCGCGGTGGGTTTTCCTCGATGGCGAGGCACGTCTTGTGGCGCGAACATCGCGCAAGAGTGGCCAAACACAGTCTCCTTCACTCAGATCGTCTTCTGAACCTTGACTGGGGTAGGTTCTGGATAATGAGCATTGTATTTTTGCCGGACAGACTTGGCGAAGGCGCTTCATAGAGGCAAAATTGCATGCCGTGCTCTCGGCCCAAAAGTTTCAGTTTCAGTTTTGCAAAAGTGAGGAAAAAAGGAGAAGTAAACTCAATTTCTGCCTCTTTCCTCCCTCGGTTGATCATTCCAATGCTGGTGGTGTTTCTACCGACCACGTGGAAAGCACACCATCAACAGTTAACGAGAAAAGCCTCGAGACCCATGTGAGCAGCCGTGAGAAAAGCCGTGAGATGCATCGGTCAACCGGGTCTCTGTGCATGTCCAAGTCAAGTGGCTCTACCGAGTAGAAGTGTATAGAAACCGTTATCAGGTCGTCGTTTTGGCGAAGAATTGCGGTGTGCCACGTGTGTCACCACGGTGTCACCAAGTCCAAGAACCTGAGAGGGAGACGTCTTTGGGCAGAGTTTGAGTTTTTTTCATTGTTACATGATGTTATATCGATGGCTTCCACCCTAGTAGCGATGGCCTCCAACCTAATAGTTTCATTGGTTACATACTATGTATAGATGGTCATTCGAGGCTTTGATTTGCCAAGGACGGACATGCTGAAACACAAGTGCAGTCAGTTGGCTCAGGAGTTTCGATACAAAGTCACTCGATCGTTCAACAAAATGGATAGTTCAAGTAATATATTGTTTAAACCATATGCATAAGTGGTTAGTGGTTTCAACCTCCCTGCTTTCGCCATGTCGCGAGGCCATGGTTTTCTCCTTTTCGCCGTTTTCACTGCCTTGATTTTTCGTCCGTTTGACGATTGGACCTTCGCATTCACCGGAACATGGAGCCGATCCTCTGTGTCGCCGTCGGTATCTCTCCGCTTCAACGATGCCAGCAAAGACCGTCTTCCGACATCGCATTCTGAGTCGAATTCGAAGTTGGAATTGAGACCTTTCGAAGTGGAACACCTGCAGAAAGATGAGAAAGATCCAGAGACTGAGTCCGACCATTTCTTCATTCCTTCCGACTACGACGACTTGCCCCGGCGCTTCGACCGTGAGCTTCTGCTCAATTTTTTCAGTTCCTCGCCTAGAGTCGTAGCTCCAATTTTTTCTGGCAAATGTGTGCAGAATGCATTTTTTGGCAACGGCGAGCTTGCAAGCTCTATATTAGCAACCATTTTCGAAAGAGGCCTTCCGTTTTAAACGCGTTTTCGTTCTTCAAACGAGGCTCCAAACCCACAGAGATCGCCTGGCGTTGGTCGGAAATCGTGCAAGAGCTTTGGCCAACCTGGGACCTGTGGCATCGTGAGGAACGTTTGCAGAAGAAGAAGCGTACTCGTGGTGCCAAGCTGCGGACGGCCCTCTCTCGCTTGGGGCATCTCGTTCGACGACCAAGGAATCAAACAATTAAGAAACCCTTAAACAGACACATAATAAGAAATCTATAAGAAACGAAGACTAATTTGCCATGGCCTCCAACCTAATAGCTTGAATCGAAAACGAGAATTCCATGCAATTTCTTCCAATCCTGCTCAAAGCATGGCACACACACACTCACACATCACGCTCCATTTTTTTTTGGTGCGTATTTGTGTTGGCAAGGCCCGTCTTCGTGAAAATCGGGCAGACTCTGTCTGAACGGCCAGATCTGATTGGTGCCTCAATCGCAGATCATGTTGATCGCTTTGATCGAATGGCACGAGTTATCGCGAGTGGCGTTCGTTTCGAGGTGATGAGGCAGCAGAGGAATTGAAGCTTCTTCAGCAGGTGCGCCGCGCGGCGCGCCCTGGGTCAGACAAGCGTGTTCGGAGTGCGGCGTTCGGAGTGACCGCTTTGTTCGGTGTTCCGACAGCCACTTCGCTTCTGTCGATGTGTCGCAAAGATGGGGAGGTTTCGTTTTGGCCTTCGACGCACGCGGTGTGCGTGTGCTTTGTGCAGGAGAATGTGGAGTTCAGCACTGAGTTGGCCTTTGCGACGATTTTGGAAGATCTGAACCACACAGGGGTCCTGAGTGCCGAAATGCCTCACGCCTACCGGCACGATCCGAATGGAGCTCCACTGTTTCAGTCCATCAGCCACCGGCCCGTGGCTGCGGCCTCTTTGGGACAAGTCTACAAGGCGACCACAGTGACACCGTGAGACGGGAAGACGCCTCCAAACATACGCAGAAAGCCGTGCCTTATGTTGATCTCGAATTCTTGCTACTACTGCCTTATGTTGGTGTCGCATACAGTCGACTGACTTTTGGGAGAGGAAAAACACTTTGTTTTGAGGCTACCACGCTCGATGGGCGGACGGTGGCGGTGAAGGTCCAGCGCCCCGGCAGTCTGAAGCAGGCGGGGAATCTGCAGAATCCTGAAACAATAAGACACCTAGAAGCGATGTGGCTCCAACCTAATAGCGTCCTTGCTCCTAGTAGTAAGGCCAGGAGCCCCTAGTAGCGTCCTTGCTCCTAGAAGCGATGGCCTCCATCCTAAGAGTTGTTGATCCCGAAAGTTATTCTGTTCTTTTTCTTTCGGTTTTGAACCGGCCAGAACATCCAAGCACTGCAGCACAGACAAGCAGTTGTTTGATGAAGAACGGAGATGTAAAGGCAACTCATGAAATTGAACAGGACGTTTTGAATGAAGCGTTGGAGTGGTTGACGGTTTGACGGTAAGAGAGGTTGCGCTGGATTGGACATGTTGGGCATCTTGGCATATCTTGGCACTTGGCGTTTTGACGTTTCGAGATGGGACTGCACATGGGCGTGTTTGTTCGTCAGAAGACACTTGGCACGTTGGTTCCTCCAAGATCCATTGAGTCTGCGGGTCCTTGGACCTATAGATCAGTAGCTTCCTGTTCCGTTCGTAGCTGCCAGCCCCGATCGTAGCGTCCGATGGTTCCTAGTAGTAAGGCCAGGAGCCCCTAGTAGCTTCTTTGTTACTAGTAGTAAGGCACTTGTTACTACTAGCGTGGCACCTGTTCCTAGTAGCTTCTTGTTACTACTAGTAAGGCACCTGTTACTACTAGCGTGGCACCTGTTCCTAGTAGCTTCTCCACGAAACTCCAGCAGTTGGAGCAGTTCTTCTCCCAACCGAACGAGTCACGACAAGGCCACACGGAACCATTCGACTCTTGCGACGAGAGATTCTTCCTTTGGTCTCCAACCTAATAGCAAAAGGAACCTAAGAGCGATGGCCTCCAACCTACTAGAGGAGGTGAGTTGTTTGGTCCCGTAGACCATAGAGCTGTGAGAAAGTCCCACCCAAGATACCCCTGAACAAATGGAATTCAGCGAGAAAGTGTTGCTTCAAGCCACATTGGTAAAACTATTCGGCTATGCAATCAATCTGTGTTCTCCACCGCCGTATGTGGTGAATGCTTTCAGCACAGCATTAAACGGCACAGAGCGCTCGAAGACTGTTCGTATGTTCAAGGTCTTGCTACCACTGTCGAATGTGAAACTGTGAGCCATCAAACATGAACTGTGAGTTGGAAACATGCCACTTGAACGATTGAGTTTCCCCAAACATCGGCTGGAACCCAAATCAATCATGCGGAGGGCTTTCCCTTGTGCGACCGACCGGTACCTCTTACCCCTTACTTAGCTTGTGCCTCGAGTCGACGACGGAGGATGTTCGTTCGCAACTGTGAGGCTTTGGGACTTGGCGTGATGGACTTGTATTGGGGAGGCCAAGGTGATGAGTATCCAAAAATTGCCGATGAAGTGGCCGAAGGCAGGGAGAAGTAGGATGGAGGCCATCGCTATTAGGTTGGATATGCGTGGAAGACGAAGCTGTTTTTTTTGGAAACAGAGACCCCTTTAAGACCGATATTAATTTGTTCAGGTGTCTTCAAGGAGTTGGATTATCACAACGAGGCACGGAACGCGGAGCTTTTCCTCAAGAAGCATCGTTTCTTGCCCTTCGTCACTGCACCACAATGGGTACCCGAGCTCACCGGGCCGAAGGGCACGGCGCGCGTGCTGTCGCTTGGGACGAAAGTGAAATTTTTTGCTTTGTTACTCCGTTCGTAGTAAGGTCAGGAGCGCCCCGTTCGTAGCTTTTTTGTTTTTATAGTAGTAAGGCCAGGAGCTAGTAGTAGCTTCCTAGTAGCGATGCCCTTTGTTACTAGCTTTTCTCAGCAGCTGTATGGAACCTAAGCGCAATGGCCGCCAACCTTAACTTCGTTGAGGGTCCGTCACACCGGTTGAGGGCCTAGAGGCTCATCCCGAGGACCTTGGAATGGATCAACGGACGAAAGCTTCAGGAGATTGAGAGTGAAGAGGAGAGGATGAAAATGGTAGAGCCTTGGCAGGTGTGGCCACTCGCAATCGAATTCAATTCGCAGCTTCTCCACATTGGAATTATTGAATACATCATACCTATGTTGGACAGAAATTCTGACGGACTCATGTCAACAACATAGAATGGTATGCCCATTGCTACCCAAGGACATGGCAGTGGAGGCTGGGGGAGGATTAACTTTGATTCTAATTCTTAGCTTCTTGTTTCTAATAGTTTCTTGTTCCTAGTAGTAAGGCCAGGGGTTAGTCCTTGCTCCTAGTTGCCAGGAGCCCCTAGCAGCGAACATTGTTCCTCTAACAGAGTGCGTTTGGTCTTTGGGGTTTGGACAAAACATGGAGCCGTGTGCTTTCAGTCATTCTTGTTGACGTACGTATATATGGATGTATGGGAAATGTAATGTAATGTCATGCAAGCAAAACCGCTTTCCAAAAGAAAGGAAGGAGCGATGCCAGTACCAGCGAAAGGTCGTTTCCAAGGGCATGCAAGCTTGCTGAGGGTCATGCTGTTTTCATGACAGGAATGTTGTGAAGCTATGAGGTCCGCCGCGTTTCCTCCCTGGTCTTAAAACCGTGTGAGGCTTGTGTTTCCTCCCTGGTCTTTACTGGCTTTGTACACGCAGACCCTCATGCTGGCAACTTGATACTTACAGAGGATGGCCGCCTTGCATTTCTGGACTTTGGTCTCATGGGCGGCTCGATGGTCCAAATGGCCGATCTCGATTGAACTGCATGGATTTGCATGTTTTTGTGCTACGGTTTTGCTACGGTTTTGAGGCAGACACATGCATATGCTGCATACATGCAGGCCCCGAATGTGTTTTTTCTCCGAGTGATCCGTCTTTTTCAGGAACTGTTGAGCCTCATGTCATGGAAGGCTTTGCAGCATCCTGGTAGCAAAGGGGCGTGACTATCTCCGCTCTTCTGGAAAACGTTTTCTTTTGCAGAAATGAGTTCAGAACAGGAGACTAAAGGCATCCGATGGCCTCCAACCTAATAGCGTCCTTGCTACTAGCAGCAAACATTGCTCCTAGTAGTATGGCCAGGAGCCCCTAGTGGCGTCCTTGCTCCTAGTAGCGATGCCAGGAGCCCCTAGTAGCGATGCCCTAGTTCCTAGTGCGGCAGTTTGAGGCTGGGATTCAGCACTTGTTGGCCGAACGATGGCTGCTTTTGGCCAAAGTCATGCAAGGCTGAGCAGAATACAGTCTAAAAGTTTTTGTTTTTTTGGAAGGCCTATTGGGTCAGAACCCAACCCCGAGTCAAGTGATCGATCTCCAAACGCAGATGTTGGCTTTATGGCTGTGGGGGAGACGGGCGGCTTCAAGAAAGTCATTGACCCCACAGCACGGATCTTTGAATATACATCGTGCCCGGATGAAGAGTTTGCGGAAGCTCTGGAAAAGAGTATGAAAGAAGAAGAAGGCGGGGGAGAGGCCTCGGCCATCGCGTTTGTGGGAACAAGAATGCTACGAACGTAACAAGGGCATCGCTACTAGTAACAAGGGCATTACTACTAGTAGCTAGAAGCTGGTAGGTTGGAGGCCATCGCTAGTAGGGTTTCTTTTATCTTTTTTCTTTTAAGGCTAAGAGACAGTCGTACAAGTTCTTCGCCTGTGAGGTGGTTTGAGTCGATTTGGAGCACTTGCCACAGCCCTTACCAAGCTGTCGAACAACTACCACATGGTGATGCCGGGCTACATCATTCTCTTCATTCGGACTTTCCTCACCTTGGAGGGAATTGCTGGTGTAGTGAACCTCGGTTTTGCATAAACGAACAGTGAGAGCAAACTTTGCTTTCTTCCTTGTAAAACTCCACAAGCTTTAGATGAATGGACATTCCACTTAGTGCATACCAGTCCATTGCGAAAACATGCGTTGCTAAGCAGATTTGAGCAACATGTTGTGGCCTTGTTTGCCTTTGAGGCGGCCAGACTTTAACATCTACGAAGCCTCATTGCCCTACGCCATGCAGAGAGCGCTCTCACCAAAGACAAAGGCGTCAATGGGGGTATGCTTGTATTGACAGTGGCAAAGCTACTAGGGGCTCCTGGCAACGCTACTAGGAGCAAGAAGCTACTAGTAACAAAGGGCATCGCTGGTATTGACCCTGGCATTCTTTCAGTCATTCCTTTTGTATGCGCGTGTTAAGCATGTACGCTCGCGCGTGTGCGTCGCTTTGTGAGTGCTGAAGCTGCCTTTTCCGTTTCGGAGCAAAGAACGCTACTAGGGGCTCCTGGCCTTACTACTAGGAGCAAAGAACGCTACTAGGGGCCCCTGGCCTTACTACTAGGAGCAAAGAACGCTGCTAGGGGCTCCTGGCCTTACTACTAGGAGCAAAGAACGCTGCTAGGGGCTCAAAACGCAACATCCCTGGTACCACCAGTTCGTCGTTCGTTTGTTCGGAGTTTGTGGCCCCGCCTGACTCGTCACTCGTCGGTGGAACGACCTTTCCACATCGAAAAAACACCCGCATCCTCCTTCAAGTGTGATGCTCCAAGCGGCTGGCCCCAACTGGACCTCGCCTTCCGCCTTGCTTCTCAATTGCTTCGTCCCAAGGCCTTCTAAAGGGGAGGTGATCAGACCCTTCCGATCCGTTTTGTAGCCTTCCCAGCCTTCCCAGGCTTCAAGATTCGACTGCCTTTTGAGACGAGACATAGCGATGGCCTCCAACCTAGTAGCGACATAACCCCGTGTGCAAACAGGATTTCTGTCCGGGAATTGAGTTTCTTCAAGAAAGTGATTGGTCGATTTCTGTTTAGAAGACACGTTCGAAGTGTTCACGGAGGCTGCGGTAGAAGCTTTGCGGGAGAACTTCATCACAGAATCAGGTGCTCCACAATGGGACACCTTCGATACCTTGATTGGCTCTTCTGATTCTTCAAATTCCACAGCTGCAACGGGCAGCTCGAGCTCCAGCTCCAGCTCCAGCGTGTCCTATGGAGAGATCTTGCAGCGCGTGCTGGGATCCCCTGAGGGCTTTGCGCTGCGACGAATCTTTGCCGACCTGGACGCCAACCAAGCACTACAAGGCCTTGCCGGGCCCAGAGGTCTTTCCTTTCGACGCTGGGTCTTTCCAACCTACTAGGAACTAGGAACAAGGACGCTAGTAGGGGCTCCTGGCATCGCTACTAGGAGCAAGGGCGCTACTAGGAGTTCTTTTTTCCTTCAAATAGACCTACATAAGGACAACTTTTCACTGAGAGCACCCAATCCCTGAATGCACCTCGTGCAAATCAGCGTCTTGCAAAGTTAGTTGAGGTGGATGTTTTGGGAAGGGCTCGCCTCTATAGCAAAGGATATAGCAAAGGAAGTGCGACCGAGAAACGAACAAGAAAAGGTCACAATGTGAGTCACAAAGGTCAAAAGGAGACGGAACTGCAACCGAGACAACATGGCTAGCCAGGCTAGGCGAGACAAACTTCATCTCGACACTTTGCTATCCACTGTTACTGGTAGGAGAGACCCAATATATGTTGCTTTCGCCTGGTGTCTTTTGGCCAATCTCGACCCAAGATCCTTTCGAAATTCCTTTGACTCTTCTGACCAAACGATTAACCACGGACATTACAATACGCTCTTGAGAGCGTCGACTGTAGCCAGTTGTGGGCTCGATTGTGAAAAGCATCTGCCAAGGATGCAAACTCCCAAAGTTCGATTCTTGACTGATTCCCCAATTATCCAGAAACTTCAGGTTGGAGGCCATCGCTAGTAGGTTGGAGGCCATCGTAGGTTCGAGGCCATCGCTAGTAGGTTGGAGTCCATTGCATTAGAATCAATTTTCTTTTGACTCATCCAAAACTTCAGAGCCATGAGTGTGAGCTGCCAAACCAGAGCTCGAAATCAAAAGTCCAAAAGGAGCCGATTCAATGCTCATTTGCCATTGTTCGCAAGAAAAACACCTTTGCGCACACTTCGCACAGAATCAATTCTGGAGAAGATCCACAGCCCGTATTGGGAACTGTCAGTCCGCAGTTCGCTTATGCAACAAGATTCTTCCGGTTTCCCATTTGTCAGTAACAGGTGCCTTACTAGTAACAGGTGCCTTACTAGTAGTAACAAGAAGCTAGTAGAAACAAGTGCCTTACTAGTAGTAACAGGTGCCTTACTAGTAGTAACAAGGACGCTAGTAGTAACAGGTGCCACGCTAGTAGTAACTGGAAGAACTGTCGCTCTCGCTGCAGCCAGGTGAGAAATAGACGCGATAGGCGATAGTAGCTTTTGTTTCTTCGGTTTCGCCATAGACCACCTCTTCGATTGAACATGCAACTGCTTTGTACATGTTTTAGGTTGGAGGCGCTACTAGGCGGGTGGAGGCCACCGCTATTAGCCGTTTTTTTTTAAAGCTACAAGAAGCTTTACCGAGGAGAAGTGGCCTCGGAGGCCTTGGCCGAAGAGCTTCGTTCTCCGTGGCGCCTGGTGAAACGCAGCGCCCAAGCGCTGCGGCAGCGGCTCCGACGCGTTCCGACTCGGAAAGCTCGGCCCGTCCCCACGGCGGTGGACACGGTGCGTTCGGCCCGACGGGAGAAGTGTTTGAAGACGATCGGCGCTTTGCAACTGCAGAAGTTCAATGGGCGAACTGCTGCAGTGGCTGCACTGGCCTCCATGAGCATCTTCCTCCGAATCTCCTTCTGGGCCCTTGTGAAGGCCTTCCGATTTTCGACCAAACGATTTTCCAATGCTGGGCCACTGTAAACATTTGAGCATGGGAGAACATGTGATGTGTTCTTGACATTTTCATAGCCTTCTTTCTTTGCTTTGCAATTCGTATTTTCCGAGTGGTCGCCACTTGGGGGCCAGACTCTCCTGCCCGTGTGGTCTCCCTTTGAAAGGACCATAAAGGACCGCAGAGAGGGCATTTCGTCTCAGCGAAGCAAGCAATGAGCTAATGAGAGTTGAAGTATCGTGCGAGCGTGTTTGAAGCACACTCGGACTTCAAGACATGCTGATTCGGACCAAACAAGAAGTGCAGAGTCTAGGGCGGCCAACGCCGCCATAGCTTCAGAAGTCAAGAGACTTGAGAGACCTGTGATCAATACAGCTTTTGTTCGAGGTCATATATATTTTGCCGAACATACGTGCTGAACATTCATAGAAAGACCTGGTGGGCTAGGGCCATTCCACAAAACAGGCGGCTTTGGAACACCGAATGCGATGTTTGGAACGAACTCATCGAAAAAACTTGTTTAAAATTCCCCCAGTTGGTTAGAGCTGAGGACCAAATAATGTGGAACCACCCTCCAGTGAATCTCGAGGGATCCCGACTTTGAATGCAAACCGGTCCAAAGACGAAGGAGAAGCGGTCCGATCGAGCGTGATGCGACGAGAGGTCCAAGCGATGGGACCCGGAGGTTGTCCTGGACGCGATATGACTGATATGTCATGCCCTGCTTACACCATCTAAAATGCCCTTACACCTACTAGTCAAGTTATCATTTAAAGTCTCAATATTTGCAATACAGTCATTTACTTCGCGAATTGCGCCTCGCGCTTTCTCATGCGCGCCGCCATGCATCGCATGGCCAAGCGCCCTCATGGCCACCAGCTTAGACGTGGAAGATCAGTTCGAACTCGTCGAACTCGATGAACTTGAGGCAGAAACGACTGGATTGGGGGGTTGGTTCAAGCCGGCAGCTCAAAGTTGGCTGTTTTGTGAGGAATGTGGAATGCTTGATGAACTACTAAGAATGCTTGCCATAGCTCACTTAGCTTGCAGTTTGTTAGTCCTGATTTCATTCGTTATCGTGCTTCAGGTCAACCGCTGCCTCCCTAGAGGGCCATGTGAAGGAGACTCAATGGTGCTAATCTGCAGCAATTCGTTTTGCAGATTTGATTAGCTGGCTCTGTTGCCTAGTCGTGTGAGGAAATCCGCGAAAATTCCAAGCTCATTGCTGCTGACGTGGCATCCAATGTCAAGGACTTGGAAAAGGCGCTCGGTTTCATTACGCTATTAGGTTGGAGGCCGTCGCTCTTACGTTGGAGGCCATGGCTATTAGGTTTCTATTTTTTGGGTTTCATCATGCTGGCCTGCTGGGCTGCATGATATTGTGTTAGAGCTGGCCGCATGCTAGCATGACAGGCTGGGCGAAAGATTCAGCAGAGCTTCAGCCTCGGAGGCTGCAAAGATCAAATTAGAATTCAAAAGATCATGAAAACAATAGAGAAATTTTGAGACAGGTCTGAAAACAGAAGAGGAAAGCAGAACGTTTCATTCTTTTGCCTAACATCCGGGAGATCGACAAAGTATCAGACTGTTTAGAGGCAATGGTGTCCTTGCTCCCGGCCTTGAGGAGGAGTTGTCAAACGCATCGTGAAAACATCGACAAGAGTGTATTGTCTCCTCTCTTTGTGTGACGTTCGTAGCGTCCCTAGCTAGTAAGGCCAGGACGCTCCTAGTAGCAAACATTGTTACTACTAGTAAGGTACTTGTTACTACTAGCGTGGCACTTGTTTCTACTAGCTTCTTGTTACTACTAGTAAGGCACTTGTTACTACTAGCGTGGCACTTGTTACTAGAAGCGTCCTTTTCAGGTCCGCGTGGACGTCACATTTCAACAGGCTCGAAACATCTGGACTTGCGAGTTTACTCGGACTCACATCGTGACCGAGGGGAGTCTGGGATTGAACTTGGATCTGGAGAGCGGACAGGCGTCTTGGCAAGAAAACAAACACAAAAAACCGTGGTCTAGAAAAGTCTAATTGAAAATTTATAGTAAGATATCAAGAACATTCATTATAAAACATGTATAGATATCAAGAGAACTCTAATTCGAAGAGCTGCTCGGAAAGCCAAGCCCGACAGTCAAAGTCAAGGTTCTCAAAATCACGCCTGGTGGTCGGGACCTCAAAACCTGTACTTTTTGCATCCTTTGCCGGGAGCCAGGACGCTACTAGGGGCTCCTGGCATCGCTACTAGGAGCAAGGACGCTACTAGGACGCTACTTTTAGCATTTGATCCGGTTCGGTCCCTTTTTGTCGACCACCAAGTGCCGAGAACTTGGTCTCTTCCGAGGACAAGCAGAAGCCTTGGGTCTTCGCATTGAGGTGAGCATTTGTGAGTTCAAGATTAGAGCTAGTGTTTAGAAGTTTTCTCTTTTTCATTCGGTTTTACCACCGCGTTGAGGCACACATTCTTCAAGGCACCTCCTCTTCTTTCCCCAATCAGCTCCACCCCCGTGCTGCACGCAGCCGATGATGAACCAAACAACTGTAATTGGCAATGGAGTAACATATAGAAAACACATATTCCATAGTTATAAGATTTAATACCAAACATAGGTATAGACTGTTTCTTTATGATATATGGTCCCATTTGGTCCGCTGGTTTGATCAGTTTCTGGTTGCCTAGTCCTTTGGTCCGGTCCTTTTGTTGCTCGTTGCAACGAGCAATCGACGCCAAGCGACGCCAAGACCCACTTCGTGTGACAGAGAAGTTCTGTCAGGACCGAGTGGTGGCTGTGCAGGGCGAGGCTTTGGAAGGAAAAGGTGCCTTCCAGGAGGCTTGGAGCAAAGCGTGTGAAAGAAAAAGCAAATGAACGCCGAGCAGCGAACGAAAAAGAACACCATTGTTTTTCTTGGACCGTGCTGTTTATTTTTACAACCGGGTGACCGGCTACGTCGCTGACTTCGAAAGAATCTGATCTTTAATCGAACACCGAGACATCGCATCGAACACCGTTTGCGTCGTTCACGTCGTTCGCGCCCGTCGAGGCACTAAAGCAGAAACTAGCAAAGTTGCCACGCCCAGCCCAATCCTGAGGGGAAGTTTGCCTTGTTTCCATCGCTATGAGGTTGGCCTTAAATCTGAAAGCACATGAACGCTATTCGGTTGGTGCGCCTTCTTCTTGTTTGAATCTGAGGTGCAGATGACTTTCCTTCGTATCCAGCAGGTTGACCGCGCAAAGGATTCGACCAGACGGGAACCCAAAGAGAAGGTAGATCAGGACGGAAGCGCTTGAGGTTCGCAAAGGGCACCATGAAACTTGTGTGGAGTATTTGTGTTGGGGAGTTCGGATCACCAAAGTCTGCCGATATTCCGGCCAGAGCAAGTTGCAAGTGATGAGGTAAAACAAATATGGTAAAATGATTCCTTAGGTCAATGATTCTCTCCAAGGACTTTTCAAAGTGAGGGCATGTGAACGCCATGGAACCTGTTTGTGCTACATCACAGGAAAAGGCGAAACAACTTACCGGGCTTATTGGAGCAAACAGCCATCTGCACTCGCAACGCTCTCAAGACAGAGCGCATCTCATCACACTCCGCTAACGCCCGCTCCTAGTAGCGATGCCAGGAGCCCCTAGTAGCGTCCTTGCTCCTAGTAGTAAGGCCAGGAGCCCCTAGTAGCTTCTTGTTCCTAGTAGTGATGCCAGGAGCCCCTAGTAGCTTCTTGTTACTACTAGCGTGGCACTTGTTCCTAGTAGCGTTCTTGCTCCTAGTAGTTCTTCACATGGTTCTTCGATGTTCTTCGACAAGACTGTGACACTGCGGAGCAGGTTCTTCGCAGGTGTTCGATTCAGCTTATGTCGACAAGTACTTCTTTCCTTTGCATGTTCATTTAATTGGCCGCCCAACAGCCGGGCTGCGAGGTAGCGATAGTTCTTTGTTGAAGCTATCAGTTGAGCCCAATATTGACATGTCAGGGCCAGGTTGGGCCAAGACACACGCAAAGCCACTGCGCCGGCTCCAGACACGATGCAGAGCCTAGCGGCCCTAGCGATTGCAACGCGATCCACATCTTCAACACATTAAACTCATTAAACATATCTTGTCTCAGAGATACGACAACCCTGACAGCATCACCCCAAACGCAAAAAGCCTCAATGGGAGTAGCACGGTCAGCCCTCCAACAGCGAGCAGGTTGTGGGCGATCGTGATCAAGAGCGTTTCGTTCGTTTGCCTTGTTGGGGATCAGTGGCGCACTCTTGAAGCCACGTTAACGCCGCGGCTAAGCCGCGAGCTGGGCACCAGAAGAGACAAGCGGCAGAGTCTTCACCGTCAAGCGGCTTTCCACTAACTCGCGAGCTGTGTTGCCCTTTGACACCTCTGCTGAAGCTTTGGGACAACGTGTGAACTCACTATGCAGCTTCTTGCTCCTAGTAGTAAGGCCAGGAGCCCCTAGTAGCGATGCCCTTTGCTCCTAGTAGCACCCTTGCTCCGAGCCAACAAAAAGCCTCCGCATCAATCCAAGGTTGCTGTTTGACGACAGGAACCGTCTCCAAAACAGAACGTTTGGAACTGAACAACCTCCCTTGGAACACTCGTGACAAGTCTGTTCCGCGAGGTGCGACGGCAAGCAGTCCGTTCCGCTCACACGGCAGCGTTGAGACACACATGGGAATTCACGCCACGCAGTGCCTCGCGGGTTTGGTGCATTTGCACGCAGGTGACAGTCAGAACACTCACAAGATGCAAATCCACGTCCAAACCGACTTTGGAATGGCAAGACCGCGTGCGGTGTGAACATGAAACCAAACCGAATCACATGTGTGGTGCTGAATTCCATCAGATTCCCAACTGTGCTTGAGTGAGCTACTAGGAACAAGTGCATCGCTACTAGTAACAAGTGCCTTACTAGTAGTAACAAGAAGCTTCAAGTAACAAGAATGCAACATCCAGGAGTTGGATGCGCGGCTGCAGGACATGCAGGCAGGAAAACGAAGACGGAAGAGGACTCATCGAAGCGAAGACGAGACGA